AATTTTTGATAAGATCAACTTAGCGTTAAGAAAATTGAAAAGACTGTTTTTCATCGAGAAAAGTGATTTTTGAAAGTTGTAAACAAATTCAAATAAATTTTTAATTAGATTTCCGTATGACTTTACAACCAATTTATTGTAAACTAATATGTGTTAAGTTTATAGTAAATTTGTTTTTTTGAGTTAGTTACTGTATTTATAGAAGTTATTGGCATCAATATATCAACTGTGCCTAATGGAGCACATTGATCGTTGACTATGCGGGGCTCATTGATCGGAGGATCAAAGTGTCCCATATAACTTATATTATAAGACTTAAATTTTTTGTTTAAATTTTATACATTTAAACTTATGACGAATAAAAAATCTTTATATAAACTTTTAAAATTTCATTTTTAAAATGTAATAGTGTTAAAAACTACGCCAACAGATATAGCACAAGAGGAACAGGAAATTTCACCCTGCCCATTAAAAAAACAAAATTTTCAAGATTTTCAATTGCATACCGTGGCCCCTACTTATACAACAAAATAATATCTCAAAATATAGAACTTACTAAAGTAGATAATCTTACTATTCTTAAAAAAAAATTAAAAGATCTCATAATTAACAAAACCAATTTTATCGATATGTATTAAATGTAAAAGAAAATGAATATAATAAATGTAACAAGAACAATTTAAATTTTAAAATAAATAAAATAATAATAATAATAATAATAAATATAGTAGCAACTATACATAGTAAAATATTACTGAACAGTGGACCTCAAAAGTTAATGTGTGTTTTGTGAAATTACTCTTTAAAATTTTTGTTCATTTTGCATTTTAAAGGTTCTCGATGAAAAGACTTCTCTTAGTCTTCTGCGAGTTTCCTTACAACAACATAGTGTTATTATGATATATTAATATATTTTTTCAACGATAACCACAAGCAAGTCCCTAGTAGCCCTGTGGTGCGACGGACTTGCGTATATGTTTTTAAACGCATGAGTTAATAGGCAGCGCTTTATATTATAAACCACAATTTTTTACTTTTTATTTTTTGTTATTGTTTTTTTGTTTTGTTTTTCTCTTAACTTTCCTAACCCACTGTAATAGGCCAAGCGTGAAACAGCATTGTTAACGCTCTTTAGATATTGCAAATATGTGTGGTGGACATTAATATAAACTGGAGTTATGTAAATATTTGTTTTTGAAATATATAATAATTGTTGTAAAAATAAAAAATAAAAATAAAAACTAATTATTATTTTATTTATTTAACACCCAATTTACAAGGTAAAAAGAAAAAAATAAGAAAGTTATTTCGGATGACTTTGCTTAAAAACGTTTTCTTCCAGAATTAGCTTGAAAACTCCTCTTTGCTCTTTTGCATTCCAGCACTCTATTGCATACTTCAAGTTTCGTTCAACTTCGGAAGGAATTTTACTTTTAGAAAGTGGTATTTTTACCTTAATAATATTAATAACATTAGTTTTTAGTTTTACAGAAGTTTTACAATTAGTTTACATAATATAATTATATAAATTTTTTTTTTTAAACAATCATTTTATTTTACTTTTTTTTTAATTTTCAGATCTTTAAATGGTTAGGAATAGAAAAAAAAAACAGACAGAGTTGCTATATCATGTGATACAATGAAATTAGCTGTTAATGAAGTTTTAGAGGGCAGACCAGTGAATGTTGTAGCTCGCAAGTTTAGCATAAATCGAATGACCTTAAAAAGATATTGTAATAAAAAGAAGCTCAACCCAAATGAATTTTTTAAGCCTAATTACAACAATAAACAAGTTTTTACTGCAGAAGATGAAAAAAGTTTGTCAAGTTATTTACTACTTGCATCAAAAATGAACTATGGACTTTCAACTAAGTCAACACGATTATTGGCATACGAGTTTGCTGTAAAAAATAATAAGATTTGCCCTTCATCATGGATCAAGAATAAAATTGCAGTGATTGATTGGTTGCAAGGTTTTATGAAAAGACAACCAGAGTTGTCTTTACGAACACCTGAAGCAACTAGCTTTGCTCAATCAACTGCTTTTAACCGACACACTGTTGGAGAATTTTTCCAAAATCTAAAAACAGTAAGAAATCGATATAAGTTTGATCCTTATTGCATATATAATGTTGATGAAACTGGTTTAACAACAGTACAAAAGCCAGTAAAAGTGTTAGCAGGTAAAGGAAGTAAACAAGTAGGAAGAATCACATCTGCAGAACGAGGAACATTAGTAACTGTATGTTGTGCTTCAAATGCAATTGGAAACTCTATTCCTTCATTATTTGTTTTTCCTAGGTCAAATTTCATGATTATATGATAAAGGAAGGTCCTCCTGGATGCGTGGGATTTGCAAATCCTTCTGGTTGGATGAATTCAGGCATTTTTATAGAATGGATAAAACATTTTGCGAGATACTCAAACTGTTCTCATGAATCTCCAGTTTTGTTACTTCTGGGCAGCCATAAAAGTCATATTTCTGTTAGAGCTTTGGATCTTGTAATTCAACATGGAATTACAATGCTAAGTTTTCCTCCCCATTTTACCCATAAATTGCAACCATTGGATAGAACTGTTTTTGGACCATTGAAAAGGTTTTACAATGCTGCGTGCGGTAATTGGATGGTCACAAATCCAAGACCTATGACCATTTATGATATTGTTTCAATAGTTCGCGAACCATACACAAAAGCTTTCTCCCCATCTAATATACAGAGAGGATTTCAAGTAGCTGGCATTGAGCCATTTAATCCAGAAATTTTTAAAGATGATGAATATTTACCATCATCAGTTACAGATCGTGCTGCTCCAAATGTAGTAAACACAATTGTGGAACCTGAAATGACTGTAGCACATGTTGATGGCATGGAGCCTGAAATGCCTGTAGTACATCATGAAACAAGTTTTTCGAACAAAGTGTCACCAAGCATTGCTTCATTACTCTCACCTGAAGTTTTGAAACCTTACCCGAAAGCTTCTGCTAGAAAAAGAAGTGTTAAAAGTAGGCAATTAAAAACAAGGACTTTGACTGATACTCCAATCAGAAATGAAATTCGTTTGTCAGAAGAAAAAAAAACCCTAAAACAAATCAACCAACAAAAGAAACTCATCGCAAAAGATAAAAAAAGGGGAAAAGTTAAAAACTACCAAAAAAACAATGTAATGTAAAAGCAGCATCACGAATTGACTTTGACAAAGGATGATAATATAAAAAATAATCTTGTAAACTTTAGTTCTAATAAAATTTTTGTATGAATCTTGTATTTTTTTGGAAACTTAAAATACTGTATTCTTATAGACTTTATAAGCTTCAAGTTTTGTAAAACTTAACACATATATATCTTAGCAGTATATAACGGGCTTATTTTCATAGATAGGATTGTGGTTATTCTTCTAATGTAAACTTTATACACTGGTGTGTATTAGGTTGTAATGAAATGGGGTGGGGACTTAAAAGTACGAATGACAATAGGGGGAGGGAGTGTCAAATTTCAGAATTTTTGCCATACGTACATTATGGACGACCCCTTAACCATGTTGTACCATTTCTAAAAAGTACCAATACTGATAATAGACTTGGAACTTACTCAGAACAAGCATGTGAATCTGTTCATCATGAGTATAAAAAAATATGGTTTAAGTATAAGAGTCGATAATACCACTCTGATTATGCTAAACGATTTAAGTCAAGTGTTGTCGAATTTTCAGCATTTAATATGTATTTATGTAATTCTAAATCTCAGTCAAGATATGTTCACATTGAATCCATTTATTATATTTTGTTATTGATTTTTACCTAAACTTATTTGCTATGTTATCTGTTGGAGAATATGTTCAAACCCTTTTTAATGCATTTATAATATAAGTATACACAAATATAAAGTAAAATTAGGATAAGGCATGTGATAAATTTTTTTTTTTCTCTAAAATTAAGTGAAATACATGAACTTCAATAATATTACCCATGTACCGCACTTCCTTCTTTAATCAAAAGTTGCAAAATTTTTATTTTAACTATTTCTATAGAGGTTCTCAATACACTTACTTAATTTAACTACTGTATTTCTTTATAATTTCCTTATACTTCAAACCTGTATCATAACAATTCTGTGCGTTTACAACACTGTGACTGGAAGCATATATATATATATATATATATATATATATATATATATATATATATATATATATATATATATATATATATATATATATATATATATATATATATCTACTATTGCATATTGATATGCGCAATTGCTCACTTTTTTTGCTAGCCTAAATTAAGTGAGCGTTTTTAAAAAACGATGAGGAAAAACGAAGAATAACGAATGAAAAGGTTGCTGACCCATACCAAACCCTCAGTCGATGTAGCAGCACTCCACTGCGAGTCAGGCTATTTGTCAGTCGATGTATGTACTGAAGCCCCCGGCAGCAGGCTATTTGACGTTAGGTGAGTATGACATCATCATGCTCATATATATATATGTATGTGTATATATATATATACATATATATATATATATATATATATATATATATATATATATATATATATATATATATATATATATATATATATATATATGTATATACATATGTGTATATATGTGTGTGTGTGTATATATATATATATATATATATATATATATATATATATATATATATATATATATATATATATTTGCAGGGGCCAAAATAAATGTTGAATACCGGCATTCCCTGGACTGTTTTTATATAATTATAGATAATCCACGAAAGATTACAGGAACAAGATAATGAGAGATAAGCGATAGCTTGTTGAAAGTATTGGAAAAAATGTAATTCTTTTAAAAATCACTGTAGACAAAGATCGTTTTCGTTTGTTATTTTTAGACCTTTTTTTTTTAAGAAAAGAAGCTATATTTTTATTAATATCACCATAAAGATATCTATTTTTTGGTCTTATAGGACAGGAAGGAGTAAGGGAAAAGGCTTAAAACAAATAAATCCAATGATTACAAGAAGACTATCCACAAATTGTTGTTATAAACAAATTTTAACAAAATAAATATTTTCTAAAACGTTGGGCTTTTTAAGCAAAAATATATATATAAAAATATATTTGAAGACTCAGGACAAGAGAATCTACTCAGTACCAATCCATCATTTATATAACGACAAGTAAAAACTTTAACCCACTAAAAAGGACTACAATTTTACTAAATTATAATCAAAAATATTATCCAGAAAGAAAAATATCAAATTGTATAACTATATATAATATAATGTACAAACGATAGAATTAAACATTTAACGTTTCGTAGAATTTGAATCTGAAAGCGAAAACTAATTTTTAAGTGTTTAAAATAAGACTAATAAATTTAGATTTTTTGTTCCATGTAAAATGAATTTACAAATTCATTAGTATATTCCATTTTTTATTGAAAAATGTAAGAGAAATATGCAACTAATGTACACTAAAAGAAATTTTTAAAAAAAATCTGCATTTATGTAGAAAAAATTCATTGCACAAAAACTGGGAGGAATTTCCCGTTTATTAAAAAAATATATGCAAATATATGCAAATTAACTTTTTTCTTGCACAACCTCTTCCTCTGGAATGTCGATAGCTAAAGCTTGAACAATCCATGGATCACATTTTGAACCTTCCCTAAATTCCTCCATCGTTAGTTGACCATCAAAATTCTAAAGCATAAAGAACATTTCGTCATTATTTCAAGCAGAAACAATTTCATTCAAATAAAAACAAATTTAAGACAGCTACACAAATGCAAAAACTTAATGTTATAGGTTTCTTTATTTTGCAGTTTTAGTGCTTTAGTAATTTAGACTTCTATAGTTTTTAAAAACCATTACATTGGGTTTTATTGATACGCTTTTTACCACTTTAATTACAATTGGATAACTTTCGTTAAAACAGCACACACTGGAGAAAAAAAGCTTTAAAACTTGACAAGAAATTTTTATCTTCAACTCAAAAAAAAAATCATTTTTTAGATATAAAAAATGATTTTTTATATCTAAAAAATATTATCTCACTTAATCTGTTTAGATACAAAATTTATTATTTTCCATTAAATAAAATTTAATTACCACCTTTTACCGTTTTATACAAAATTTAAAAGTAAAAATTAAAAACTCGGTTTGAAATAAAAGTTATTTATATTAAAATTTAAGTAAACATTGCACAAAATACTGTATATGCTATACATGTATTTAAGTTTATCTTAAACATACATTTAAAAATTTTACTAGCATGTTCAGAATATTTCACACAATGATTTGTAATTTTATATCTTTAAAAAATGTTTAGAAAAGTTTAAATTTAGTACACTAGAATAGAACATAAAAAACAAGTTTAAACAATTAGCATCCTAGACTTAACTTCACTTAGTGACAGAATTAAACATGCTGATCTTATCCATAAATCCCAATTTAAAATAAAAGAAAATGTTTTATTAAACCTCTATTTATGACTATGAAAATGCTTTCCGGGAAATTGATAACTGCTGGTTCAGAAATCAGTAACTGCTAGACGTTAAATGGACGTTGCATGTAAAGAGCTTTGAAATGTTTACATTTTTGAGTAATAAAAAACTATTTTACTCCTCAAATAGAATTGCAGCATTATTACAGTTAAATTTTTGTAACTATTGCAAAGAAATCAAGTGCAATAATGGATGCCGTTGATTATCATTTCTCAATAAAGTTTATCACATTGCATTTGATCAGTTTGATAAGCAAATTTAGCAACGCCAAGCAATTGAGGAATTTTACATACAAACCAAGTCACTTTTTTTTCAGTAACTTGCTTATTTTTTTATTTAAAAATAAATTCTGAAAATTCAGGTGTAAATCTAGTATCTTCCATTCTGATTAGCGATTTTGCTTTTCGAACTGTAGTTGCTCCACCTATAACTAAAGTGCTTTCTAAAAACATGTTGTTGTTGACTAATTAATCAACAACAATATGTTCAGCACTTCGTTTTTACATACATGTTCAGCACTTCGCTTTTACATACATGTTCAGCACTTCGCTTTTACATACATGTTCAGCACTTCGCTTTTACATACATGTTCAGCACTTCGCTTTTACATACATGTTCAGCACTTCGGTACTGAATTTTTTTTTGATATTATTGAAGGAGCAAAACTCTGTTTAAAAGAAAAAAGTATAGTATTGATGCAATTCAATAACAATAAAAGAACTCAATTTTATTTCATTTAACAGTTCCCAAAAGAGAACTGTTAAATGAAATATAATGCTGGTGGAGTATTAGTAGTTCTAGATTCTCATTTATATTCAAAAAGAGAACTGTTAAATAAAATAAAATACTGGTGGAGTAATATTACTTCTAGATTTTCATTCATATTCAAAAAGAGAAAAAATTCATTAACAAAGTTAATATTTTCTTATCAACAAAAAAAAAACTTTTAAAAATGAAACCATAAACATAATAAAATATTACCTTATCCATTTTCTTAAATATTTTATCAACACGTTTATCAGGTGTATTTTCATCCTCTGGTAAGTCAACCATTTTCCCCTAAAATATATATATATACATACATACCAAATAAATACTTACATACATACCCATAAAATAAACATACCCATAAAAAAACATTGAAAAACTGAAAATTTTGTATGATTTATAATTTCACTGTTGTTCGCGCAACGGTAACATCGCTTTAATTTTTTTCTAAAAGTCACGGTAGTGATTTCTGATTGGTTGATATTTTTTTCTTTTACTTAAAGAATGCATGCCTAAATCAAAACCCTTGATGTATGCACACTCACTGGGCCTATTCCTAAATCAGTGGATGTATTTACACTCACTGCGCCTATCCCAAAATCTGTCAATGTATGTACACTCACTGTGCCTATTCCTAAATTAGTCGATGTATGTACGCTTAATGCGCCTATCCCTAAATCAGTCGATGTATGTACACTCACTGCGCCTATCCCTAAATCAGTCGATGTATGTACACTTACTGCGCCAATTCCTATGTCAGTTGATGTTTGTAAATAATAAACATAAATGTAATTTTCAATATACAACAACAATAACTTTCAATAAAAAAAATTGTTAAAAAACATTTTAAAATATTTTTCCGAATGTAGGACTAGATCCGAGAACTCAGTGAGAGCAACTGAGATACCATCAACTGAGTGAGAGCAACTGAGATACCATCAACTGAGTGAGAGCAACTGAGATACCATCAACTGAGTGAGAGCAACTGAGATACCATCAACTGAGCTAAATGCAACTGAGATACCATCAACTGAGTGAGAGCAACTGAGATACCATCAACTGAGTGAGAGCAACTGAGATACCATCAACTGAGTGAGAGCAACTGATACCATCAACTGAGTGAGAGCAACTGAGATACCACAATGCTAAACGTACAAGTTATAATTGCAACTCTTTTTAAACTTGTAGAAATAAAACTTTCAAAATCAATCAATGGATTTCGCAGCCGCGACTTAAAATAAACCAATAAAACTTTAGTACCGTGATTTTATGATAAAAAATTAAAGCAACGGTGCCGTTGCGCTAGACACAATGTTTTAGTTAAGAAAAAAAGTAAAAGGTGGGAAAACTAAACAGCGGGGAAAACTGAACACTTATGAAAACAAGCCTTCCTAGGAGGCGTGTACACACTTTGTTTATCCATGTTTAAAGTAATATTTTTAGACTATTTTACCACATTTTTATATAGTAAGCATTTTAAGAATTTGAGGCAAAATAAACCTATAAGAAACTACAGAGAATAAAACAGCAATACTCCAAAAAAGAAAACAAATAATATGCTAAATAAAAATCTAAAACAAAATCTAAAATCTAAAAAAACTAAAAAAAAAAAAATTTTGTCAAAAAAATAATATACCAAAATATTTTACTGTTTCCTTTTTTTTTTTAAGGCGTTTGTTATTTTCCACTACCAAAATTAATATAACTTGAGAAAGAAAGCAGATAAGAATATAACAAAAATAAAAACATTTTTGATAAAAAATTTATACACAACTTTTGTCAGTCAGTATATTAAGGAAACACTTTATTATTTGCGCTAGAAATATGGACAGTTTTGAAATTCGTTTTTCAAATGTTTTCGCTAAACTTTACTGTTTTTTATCAAAGCACAGGAAAGTGAGAAAAGTAATTGCTATTTATTTGTAAAAACAAGTTTTATTTTTAACAAGTTTTTCATGTAAAAAAATATAGTCATTAATACAAATATTTAAATATAAAATAATTTGTTGTTTTCACTACCTCCATTGAAAGTCTGCACTTTTGTTGAATTCTCCTAATTGTCCATTTAAACCTTATAGTTTATTTTCTGATGAACAATTGTTATTGACAATGCTCCAAAAGCTTGTGGAATAGTGCTTTGTAATTTACTGAACTTTTTTAATCAAATTTAAATTTAGAGCCTATTTAAAACATTTTTTTAAAATAGAGCTCGTTATGTTCATTATCTCTAGAACTTCATATTAATGTTGGAAAGTAATTTAAAGCAAACTATGCAAAAAGGCATCTAATGTGGTAAATACATTTATGAAGAAACCATACAACTTTTATTACTATTTAATTATATATTATATATATATATATATATATATATATATATATATATATATATATATATATATATATATATATATATATATATATATATATATATATATATATATATATATATATATATATATATATATATATATATAATTACATCATTTATAATTTCAATTAATAAATGATGTAATTTTAATGTTTATGCCTTGAAACTTATTTCAAGGCATAAACCTTGAATCATTTCCAGGCATAAACATTAAAATTAAAAATATATGTAGTGTAAAATAAAAAAAACAACAAAATAAATAATACTAAAAGTAAAAAAAAAATTAAAGAATAAGAATATGTTAGTCTGAATTTTATATAAATAAATAAATAAAAAATTTTGTTGATGTCATAGAAATTTTACACAAATA